TCATGCTATTTCACCCTCCACCTGTAATGCAGTCTTCCTGCCCCCCCGCTGAGATTTCTCTCTCTTAGCAATTATATCCTTGCCTTCCAGGGTAACTTATTCTACCCAAGAACAATGATCACAGTAGTTCATTCAAAGCACCCATCCTGTGTCACTTTCAGACTGGTGGTTTGCATTTCTGTTTCTTTTTTTTTTGTGTATCTTTCCAGTGTTAACATTTTGGTCACTAAGAATTTTAAAACATAACAGTGCAGCTGTTTCACTTGTATGCAGTAGCTTATATGCACAACTGCCGTGTTATGCATATAAACTGTGTGTGGTTTTTACAGACAGTGTTTCTACAAACAACTGCCATGTGTTGTAAAGTAAAATCTAGCAGGCATTGTTTGTGTACTTCTCAGAGAAGTCTAGGAGACGGGAGCGTATTCACTGCACTGTAGTTTTCCATTAGTGTTCTACTGCTCAATGTGTATTTATGCAATTCCTTTTCATTTTTTTTCGGTTCTTCTAGTTAGTAAGTGACATTTGTTTTCCTAGTGTCGTGGCATCAGGCCTGGAGGCTTAACTCACATTGCAGTTAACTGCCATGCAAAAAACTTCAGCCTTCAATGGGTAAACATTATTGAGCAAAATGTGTGGGGCCTCTTAGACTTCAAAGGAATTGGAGCTAGAGCTGCCTCAGTAACTGTCAGAGGAACTGCACTGAGCCAAGAGCAATTATTGTCAGCAAGCTCTTCTATATCTGGGCAAGTGAAAACAGATCTCTGATTTTTTGCCTGAGTGTGCTCTGTTACATCTCCCATAAAATCAGTTGAGCTTACCAATATAAGTATGCTTTACCTACTCTTTATGCAGACAAACAACAGTATACATCCAATTTACAGACCAGAGCTGTGAACTGATGGCTCAGTAAGCTGGTTCTATGGCCCACAGTGCTTTCTGGGAATGCTCTTTGCCTAGAACTTCTAATACTGTTTGGAAAAACTAGAGAAATAGGTGATAACTTACATGAGACCCCAGGTCAATGCAGATTGGATCCTTGGACTGTACCGTAGTCCACTACTGTACTGTCAGTACTGTAGCAGAAATAAACAACAGGAAAATATTAAACAGTGGATTTCTCTTCCTTCCTTGGATTAACTTTTCTGATCATCTTGTATTGTTTTAGTTGAAAATTAATAGATGACATTTTAATGCCTTTCACTACAAAGTTTACAGTATGCTCACTTGTTATTTCATATTCTGCAGTGATTAGCTAAATTCATGAGGAAGGCTTTCGGCTTTAATTGTTGCAGTCTTTTAAGTTTGCTGAGGTAAGCTCATTTTCAGCTATAGAATCTGTTTTGAAAAGATATTTTTGTTTATTTCCTTTTTGATTGAATTTGTTCTCAAATTAGGTTTTGTATATTCATAATTCATGAATTGATTTATACTCTGTACTGTGTGTATGCATTTGCTGAGAGTAGCAGACAAAAGAGAAATGGATATTCTTCAGATACACGCTTTAATTTGATTAAACACCTCTAGTGACATCTTCTTACAATATCCAAGTTCTGCTCATTAGTCACAGTCTAACATTTGTCTGCCATCTCCTGATTATAATTTCTAAAACAATTCAGATTTTGTTTCCTGAAAATTCATTTCTATGAATTTTTGATAGGACAAGTCAATCACCTAAATGTGATGCCTCAAGGCAAACAGAAACGGTACAAATATACAATCAAAATAAGCATGTGTAAATAATGGAATTCTTTCCAACACTTGCCCAGCTGTGTTTTACAAATAGCACTGAATCCATTTACATTAATTTTATGTTTGCTAGCTGAAATTAATTTATGAATTTTCCACGTTTTTGTTCAGCCCTATAGTTTTTCAGGGATTTGTAAGAAATGGTTATTTAATTGAGACTAATGTAGTAACGGTAAATTATTCCTCTTTTTTTCAGTACTTGCTACAAATTTGATTTCTATGGTCACTAGTATTAGAATGCCCATGAAAAATAGTAAAATAGAGAAAACAATGAAAAAATTGTTTTATTTTATTCTATTCTATAAGCTTCTCAATTAATGCTGTTGATAATCTCTTGGAGTTGAAGGTACTCTTTCCTATTTGACATTAGTTAGCATGTCTTCCACACTAACTGGCAGGATAATTTTTCATATGGGTTGTACTGTATGTACAGTGTACATAGATGGCTGACAAACTTGTTAATGTTGAGTCCAAATGTGCAATGCAGATTTCTCTTGCACAGGGAAAATACTGCTTTTCTTGTTCTAAATATGCTGGATTATCATCTACCAAAATCTACAGTTTAAAATATCCAGATTTTATTCTCTTTTGTGCACATTTGGTACATAACAGTTCTTTCTTAATTTGGAATTGAAAGAACTTGGACATAAGTTTTTGTTTTAAGCATATAAATGCAGTAACTTTCTGGTTACAAATCAGCATGCATTTAACCGCAGAGGGCAAAGGGCATGCAGAAAGGATGAAAGGTCTCCACAAGCAAATGCTGTGCAGTCTCTTACTTACCATAAAGTAGTAAGTGTTAAATATTAGATGTGCCATTTACAGCTGCCTTTGGACAGCTGTGAATTAGTGGAGACATTAAAACAAAACCAATAATTATATTCTTGATTTGCGTTAACTGTAATGATTAAAACCACAAACTCAACTACATTCTAATTTTGTTATGTCTTGTTTTCATAATGAAAGATCTTTATACAGAGACCCTGTACACATTTTGTCAGTATCGCTATTAAAAGAAAATGATGCTAATTTTGTTAGAGGCCCACTCAACTTCAAGTTAGCTGTGTAGCTATGGCTACTGTTTATATGTACTGTTTGCTGTATGTCACAGCTTTGATAGAGCTATTTCTTAGACTTCTCTTAGTCTATTGTTCTAATTGCATATATCTTAAGGTGCAAAACTGGAAGGTACATCTGGTATTGCAGTTTTCTGTGGTAACAGCCTGTTTTCATTTGTCCATGCTGAGGTGGTCCAGATGGTCTCCAGAGATCCCTTTCAGTCAAAGTTATTCTGTGATTATAGGGTAGGCATTTGCACCTTAATTCCCTTCTCATATGTAAACCTCTACTAGTGCTGCAAACAACCCTTACAAGGTGTGAGGTGTTTATCTAATCAAATCCAGCACTTAGGAGTTTAACTTTCTTCTGACACATATTTCTGATTAAGTCCGTCTTAACTTCTAATGACTTTCAAAGTTCCATTGAACCTTTGAACCAGAAAACTATATCCTGAGTGGTTACAGTAACTCAAGCTAAATTGCTAAGCTTGAATGAAATGACTGAAGTGCAGCCACTGGACAAATCTCCCATTACCTTCACTGAGAACAGATTCCTGCCTTCTGGTGTGTTCTCTTCTGGAAATAACGATAGTAAAATAAATCAATTCACCTTCTCTTTTAAGCATGAGATTTATAGTGGCCAACAATTCTATTAACTGAAGGGAATAAGTTGTGTAAATTGGTTCTTTAATTCATAGGGGAATCATATGTAATAACTTATAAAGCGTCTTGTAATTAACTTTCCTTTTAAGTATGGAATACTTGTATTAGACAAGCTTGTGTAAAGGATCTCATTTTAAATCAAAATACCTGTGAAGAAGCAGAAAGAAAATAGTAGTTATGGGTATGCTAAAACATGTGTATGGGGAATATAGCCGGAGGGATCACTAAGCCAGATGGTGTCATTGCACATGGACGTGCATTTCTTGAATTCCTTATAAAGGATCTCTTGATTCTTCCAGGGTGTGGACAAACTTTTAACAATAATTTGCAATCCAGTAAAATAAGTCTTGGGGGATTTTTCAGTGATGGAACATACGTGACGTGAGGAGACTGAACTCTTAGGGACGTCTGGATTTACTTGCATAGAAAAGATTATAGATGACAGCCAACAGGGAGAAAATAACTTGAAAAATATTTTCATAGTTTGCTGCTGAGACCTGTTGAGTCTCCTGGTGATGGCCCAATGCCCGTGTTTATTCTTTTGATGCAAATTTAACACCCCAAAAGAGACAGTCTGTCTCACAGATGTTTCCATTGGTATTTCAGCAGATTTTTTGAGTTCAGAGTCCCATATGAAAAGGCTAAAGTCCAGTTCAAGTGCTGTGTTCTGAATGGATATGGCATTTGAATTTGGGATCAGACAAAATAAAATTATTCTAGGTAAGCTGATTTAGATTTCAGAATGTCTGCTAATATTTGCTTTTTCTTATAATTATGTATTAAACTCCCTGAGACTTCACATTTTAACTTTTCACAGGGAGAAATGCTTTTTTGAAGTTAGTGAGTTAGAAAAATGTAGCCATCAAAATCTCTCTCTGCCATAATGTATTTTGCAATGCAAAACTATCAGGAGGATATACAATAATAAGATGACTTGGGTCCCATCCATCCTGCTATGATCCTAGTGAAGCACCGTGAAATCACTCTCTAAGGGCTGTGCAGATCTTCTCTAAATGTCTAAATATACTTATGGCCAATCTAATTAACTTTTACTATTCAAGCAAGAGTACTGAGGCTGCTGAAAGACTTCTCAGCTACTATCTTCCAAAAGGATACCCCAGAAAGAAGCTGGTTTATCTATGTGGAATCACGTACTGTTATTTTTGAAAGACTGGCTTCAATATAGTAGGTATATGTCCTCCCTTCCTCTTGTGTTTTTTTTTGTTGTTCCCTACCCTCTCCCCAACCCTGATCCCCCCAAGCAAAGCTGAAAACTCCAACCTGTGTTAACCAAAGCCAATGGCAAATATGAATTTGTATTATTACAAACATTGTATATATACCTACCCCATTTATCACACTTCTTTTTAGGACACTGACATCAAATCTTACTCTTACAAAAGAGCTAAATGCTAGACACTGGAAGTTCTTTGATACACTATAAAGCTCTATTGTAACTCCACCGCATGGCCTTCACATGCACATAATACTGACAGGTACACAGTCATATCGAATGACAAAGCTAGAAAACAGTTTCTTCATACTTTATTTTACAATTTCTCACTAAGTATATTTACAGGACACAGAGTTTGCTTTAGTGCAATACAGAGTAATGCTGCGTAAGTACAAACTGTTTAACCTTTCTAAAAAAAAAAAAGCACGTACCTGATGTTACAGCTAAGTATATACAGCAACATCACTAACTCTGAGTGAAAATGCTAACAGCATCTTTTCTTTTCACAACAATTTCTAGAAACAAACCACAAACCAGCATTACAAATTCCAAACTTCTAACCCTTGTACAGTACCAAATCATTTAAAAAATGATTTTTTAAAAGCACATGTACTGTATAGCAGTCTTTCTCTACGGATACTGACTTACTCTTTTAATACAAATATGATATTACCTTGGCAGTTTTAAAGAACAAAGTTATCTCAAGATATCAAACATCAGTAACAAACTCTGATAAACACAGCTTCTTGAGAACTTGCTTTAACAGCATTTCTTCACAGTGATATTTATGAAAGGTTGGAAAAAGATTAGCATAAAATATTTCCATCCTTTTTCAGTTTTTATGCAAAAGTCATTACTTTATATTGGCAATTATAAAATTACAAACACTTTCTATAAGTAACTGCATCTGTAGTAATGATTGATTGATAGAAAAAGTTATCAGTAAGACTTAAAATGAGGCTTGCATAAAATGATGGTCTGAAGAAAGGTACGTCTATTTTAAATAATAGTAAGGGAGGTAACTTAATTTAGAATAAGCAACACAGTAGTTTAACAACCTATTAATCAATTAAAAAAAGCTAATTATTTATTAATTAATAAATGTTTAAAAAATAAAGGAATTGTCATGAGGTGAAATCAACATTTAAAAACATATGATGAAATGTTTTACCCTTAATCTTAGTTTTGGCACTTCATTGGAACAAATACTTTACCAAAGACCAAAATATGTACAAAAGACATACAGCTCTTTGATATATCTTGTAAATATAGTACATGAGTACTGGCAAACACTGAAAACATAGTTAAACATTCTCACAGAATTGCTCATGCATGCACTATTCTGACAACAGCATTGTATCTATGCTCTTGGCGGCGACAGTCTTGCATTACTTGGGTATTTTAGGCTGTTTCTTCAGGAGATCTTGTTTCTGATTTAAGTCTTACAAATTCTTTAGCAACTTCATCATTGGTCCTCTGAGAAAGTATTCTAAGAATTGTTAGCCCAGTTTCATCTACAGAGATGTTTCTCAACAAAGGGTACCAAGATGCGCAGCTACCTTTCTCTGCTACGTTTTGCAGCTGAATAACTGTCATTCCTATAATGCGATCTTCCCGAGCAAAGCAGTAATCTTTCACTGAGAGGTGAAGTTCGTAGGCTCCTGGCTTATCTTCATTACTCAGAATGCTGCAGGGATTAAAAATATGAGCTTAGAACAAGGAGTTCAGTTTAATTCTCCTAAGAAATGAACCTACTCTAAAAAGCTTGTAAGAAGTGAAGTGATTGATAGTGGCAGTTTAACTTTTGTAGTTCCATTTTTTGTTTCAACAGAATATAATTTAGTTTTAAACCTTCTAAACAGTTAACCTTGCAGATGCTACTGATGATGCATTCTCTATTCCCCCGACCTGAACTGAAATAGAGCATTCTTTATTTCCTCAATATCTGAAATAAACACTGTTGATTTCCCTAGAACATACCTAAAATGTTCTACAGCTATCATAACCACATCTTTGAATCAAATTGAATTGTACATTTTAACCACCTTCTGTAAGTTGAAAAACTTAGTGGTTGTAACTCATGTTCGTATAAAACAAAGGTACAAATTACTAAATAATTTTGAAGTTGTGTCTGTATCTATGAACTCTGTATTTAATGGCCTTAAGATGTCTTTTATGTTCTTGCTGGTTTCACCACAAGAAATTCTAAGAAAATTTGCAAAAAAAAAATGCAATTAACAGATAAAAACCACTTACAATTGGAAAGTTTCGTTGTATTTTGGAGACCAAGTGTTGCTCTTTGTCTTGGTTCCATGTTTTCTTTTCTTGTCACTTAGGTTAGGACCCAATATGCAAACTTCCACAAATGGTCGGAACATAGCTGTTGTTTGCCAGTTTAGATTATTAATTGCCACAACTATAAAGAAATAAAAGAAATGAAGTTGAATAAAATTCCATTGGAAAAGCTCAAATTATTTATCCAGCATGACTTTGTATAGGTAATGAAAGGTGACTGGAGAGCTTTCCTATAGGATATCAATACCTGGCAAGCCTCAGAGAAGCTTTGCTTGTTCTCTGCCAGATAAGATGTCTGACTATTTGCAGTTACAACAGTAGCAAATATTAACATGTATTTTACAAATGCTTTACATGAAAAGGTTTTTTTCTGCTACCGTCACTGTAATTAAAAAAAATGAGCTTATGCTGATCTAAATAATACTGGATTTCATCTGGAATTGCAGTTGTGCAGAATAAAGGCATGTGGTTAAAATGGAACTTTAAAAATCTTGGTGCAATCATTCACCACCCAGCTCTGCTACAGCTTTTTGAAAATTAACTTATATTCAAGCAATTCAGAAGCGCAACTTAGCAACTGTGAACTTGTAACTTCATAACTTTGTATAATAAATTTTAACGGTCTATGCAGAGAAGCTTGGACAGTGTTTACCTGGATAAGCTTAACTTCTGCTGTTGTTGAGCAAGAAAAAAGTATAAGCCTAATCACCTGAAGCATACTTACGGCTTTACAAGTATTGTAACACTTAACATTTGTTGTTTCATTATTGGTGTGTTTTACTTAGGATAATAGGATATAGTGCTTGGGAGTTCTGGACTTTGCTACTGCTTTCTTTTTGAATTTAACTATTTTAAACTTACCTTTTACAGTGACTTTATGCTCACCAGTTCCAGGATGTGTAGAGATATCCACCTGTATAGATATCTCACCCACTGAATTATTATTGGTTTGACCTGAAATAGTAATTAGTAGGTTAGCACACTTGGCTTTCTAATACATCAAGAGGAACAGACAGTGAAAGAAGGCGAGTGGTATTTTCTGTCAGAAACAGAAGCTTCTGACAGATTTCACATTTCAGTGGGAATCAGTTACAGATTCGTAAGTGATTTTGCCACAAAAGTACGTGGCAATCGCAAATGTCTACATGAAGTGCCTCAGGAAAATAAAAAAAACCTTTAACCTGAAACTTTGTTGTTGTCATTTGGTGTGTCTGCATCTAGAAATGCAAACATTGGTGGTTTTGTCAAACTGTGTTTGCATGTACAACCCATCTTATTGCAAGTATGTGTTTGGAGATTTTGGATACCTAAAATTCAAAAGGCAGCTTATCTGGGCTAGTACTCTAATATGACATATAGGATGTATTTATTTCATTGGCTTTCTGATGATGTAAAGTAAATCAAAGAGTGTAGAGACTGGGGCTTCTAGAACATTACTCTTGTTCTTCGAATTGTGAAATTTCACCTTTTCAGATTGTGACAAAATACATGGAATTCAACCTGAACAGTTTGGTTTGTGTGTGTGTTGTTTTTTATTTTTTTTTGGCAGTGGACCTTTTTATGAATGATGCTTTTGATTCTATGTGTAGCCAACTTTGGCTATGAAGTCTGAGTTGAGCATACTGTAACTTGAAGTCATTAATCTTTTGTTCTAATTAAAAAGCTTTAATGGCGAAGCTGAACAGGAGAAGCAGGAATTTGCAACATCTAAATCACAGGGAAACAGAGTGCATAGGATAAACTGAATGTACTGAGGACAGAAATGTCTCCTATTTACTGTTCAGAATGGCAAAACTTGGTAGCAGCCTTGAAAAAACAATAATTTGATATTAAAAAAAAGACACAAATACCTAGTACTGAAAAAAATCTGTCCCTGCAGTCAGCCAAACAAACTGTCTTTTATCAGCTCTGTGACTGTGGTACATTCTGAAATGTTTGTGTAATCCTAGGTTAACATATTATTTCATGTTCTGAACATCAATTTATCTAATTTTCTATCTTATGATCGCAATTCTTTCTACTGAAACTGCTTTAAGAGCTTTTCATATTCATCATATCTCTCTGCTGGTAGTTTAAAGTAAAATCCTTGAATCTGGAGGAGGCTTTATTTGAGGGTCTGTTTCTCACAATCTAAAGAATAAAAGACAGTAGCAAATTGTATGTCAGAGAGAGATAGTACAGGCTTGCCTGCAAAACAAGGATTCTTTTTATGCAGCAGTCACCTAATAGCAAAAGAGAAGAATAATGAAATGTTTTTACTGTTCTTCAGCTAGAGAAGAAGCTATTCTTGTAATTGAAAGCTGAAACTGTTATTGGATGAAAGATCAGAATATTGTATTTTCTATTCTTTAATTTCTTAATTTCTATTCTATTATTTTCTTTTTATTTTTTCTATTCTATTCTACCTCTTTCTACTCTTTTCATTTTTTGTTGGTGTTTTTGGTATTCTTCTTTTCTATTCTACTATTGTTTTTTAATTTCTTTTCTATTCCTTTAATTTTATTGTATTCTCTTGTTTGCTATTCCTTGCTCTTATTTGCTATACTATTTTCAAGTATTTTCTATTGTATTCTGTTGTTTGCTATTCTTTGCTGTTGTATTCTGTTCTTGGCTATACTATTTTCCTTTGTGTTCCCTTCTTTGCTATTGCTTGCTATACTATTTTCTAGGCTTTTCTATTTTCTGTTGTATTCTATTGAATTGTGGTGTTGTAGTCTCTCTATTGAATTGTGGTGTTGTAGTCTTTCTATTGAATTGTGGTGTTGTAGTCTTTCTATTGAATTGTGGTGTTGTAGTCTTTCTATTGAATTGTGGTGTTGTAGTCTTTCTATTGAATTGTGGTGTTGTAGTCTTTCTATTGAATTGTGGTGTTGTAGTCTTTCTATTGAATTGTGGTGTTGTAGTCTTTCTATTGAATTTTACTTCCTATTCTTTCCTATACTATTTTTCTAGTATTTTCTATTGTCTACTGCATGCCGTTGCATTCTACTCTATTGGTTGCCATTTCATTCTACTCTATTGGTTGCCGTTGCATTCTATTCTGTTTGCCAGACTCTTTGTTTCTTTTCTATTTTGTTTTATTCTATTGTATTCTATTATTTGCTATATAATTTTCTAGTATTTTCTATTGTATTCAGTTGTATTGTTTGCTATTTTCTAGAATTTTCTATTGTCTATTGCATTCTGTTGCATTCTGTTGCATCCTATTGTATGCTATTGTATTCTGTTGTATTTAGTTGTTTGCTATTGCATTCAATTATTTGCTATACTATTTTCTAGTGTTTTCTACTTTCTATTGTATGTATTATATGCTAGTCTTTGCTCTACTCTTCTAGTCTTTTCTATTTGATATTGGTTTTATTATTTGCTATTGTATTCTAGTGTTTGCTACACTATTTTCTAGTATTTTCTCTTGTATTTTAGTGTCTTATATTGTATTATTTTCTGTCATATACTTTTTTTAGTCTTTTCTATTGTGTTCTGTTATTTTCTATTGTAGTCTATTGTTTTCTATTTGATTCTTCTTTTCTTTGTTTTCTTCCTCTTCCCTCCTTTTTTTGTTCAATTTTTCATTTCATTCCATTGAATTTCATAAGAACTGACTGGGGAGGTGTTTGTGGTCTGTGCAGTGTCCATTCCAATTTAGTGGTGCTTGCAGGGACATTTCTATACAGTCATAATGTAAAAGTAAGGAGGACTCGCTTTTTTTTGCAAAATACCTGAGGACAATATGCAGGTGTTCTCACTTTTCCACTGTGTGAGTCTTTCCACCAATTTGCATTGGTTTTGCAAAGTTCACAGGACTTGATTAATTCAAAAAAATAAATCTCTGCAGTTAGCAAAGTCAACTTCCCCTGCCCTACTTTCTGTCCAGTTTATAGATCTGTTGACCCTTAAGTGTATGGTTGTCAGAGCATGTGCATTAGAGAGAATAAAGATGTGAGATAAGGGGGCATAGTCAAAGCTAGAACTTTTAAGAAATTCAGGCAAAATTCAGTAGAAAAATAAGGGTTAGACTTTGTCACCAAAACCAGCAGCTGGCTGCTTGCTGTGGAACTAGATTCATTATCTTTTCCAGCTCAGGTTAAAAGAGAAATCGGAAATGTACGATATCCCCCTCCTAATGTGAGAACTTGCATATCTCCGAGAATATGTTCAATTTCTGGAAGCTGGTATCTGTGAAGCAGTCTAAACAGTGGCCAGAAGAGATCAGTATATGTTCTCAGAAGTTTGAAAACGGAACTCCTGTTTGTATTTCAAAGACTTTTATAGTGTCTGCAGTTATTACGAAGCAATAAGCTTTGAAAGGACCAAATGTCAGAATCCATTAAATACATACAGATATATTGTCAGAAATCCTTTACTTAAATTTACTTTTTTTAATTCACACAATTATATTCAACTTTTGCATCCGTTATACCCTATAAATAGTGGTCCAAAGTGAGGCCCTTGGAGCTCTCCTGAGCCAGTGTGTGTTGCTTAGCGTCTCCCTCTGAGTGCAACACCCTCAGAGCTTGCAGACACTCAAGGTTGTGATAATCGTGGGACCACTGGGACTGTCACCAAAAGACAGAACCTGGGCTGAAGTCTGCCACTCTTCAGGACTTGATCCTCACCTGCTGAGAAACGCTGACATACGAGGTGTGATCTCTTTCACTGATCTTGTGGGGAATTTTTAACATGTACCTTTCTATGTATTTCCTTATGTATGTGTGTAGAGATTGTTATAGCAATTGTGCAAACTTCTGTTCACTCTGTAAGATCCACCTTAAACCTACAAACTGCTATTAGATGAAGGGTGTGTAAAAATTCCCTCTGTGCTGAACTGGTATGCTTGTAACCCTTTAGACAAAAATCATTGTCAAAGTCTCAGACTAAGACTAGATGCAGCCACACGCAAGCTCCTTTGGGAGTTTAGAAAGCAAGAGGGTCCAGTCTTAATCTCATGACTCAATGGGAGCATCTCCCTTAATTTTTTCACATAAAAGAGCTGCTAAATGATTGTTGTTTTCTGTACTCTGTTATCTGCTTGCCCTAAACTGCAGCATGTTTGCTGTTTTCTAAGTTGAACAAGTAATTTTCTTCCCTATGTGGGTGGCTTCACACGGAAAATATGGACATTCTATTACAGTTACTCGTTCTCATTAGATAAATATTTTAAATTCTGCTTATTTTCTTGCTTTCAGATGCTTCTTCCTCTTTCACCTTTCAATTGTCCAGAGTAAGAATGAAGAAATCAGATAAAAAAACAGCTGATTTGAAATAACTGTGCTTTCTGCAGCCATTTGAACACACAGGTAGGGATTGTGGTACAAGCTAAGTTGCTAGACGAGTATCAATTTTTCTGTGTAAGTTATACAAACTCTTCAAAGTCAAGCTAAAAACATATATTGCAGTCCTGCCACTATGGAATGCTCTGTCGTGTACCTTACAATAACAGCAACATTCTCTAATGAGGTTTATAAAAGAACTAAGCTGCTGTAAATGTATATGAAAAAGAATTTCTCTATTTCCAATAAGTAGCTATTTTAGATGCAACAGTGGCATGTACTTTGGACAAATTAGGGGTAATAAATGAAAGTAAATTCAGGGCACTGCAGTGTTCGAGGCGCTGTTTTTTTATGTAACTTGCTAAAACTGATTACTGGTGATGGTAACAAAATGTAAGCATTCAAACACAGGCTATCGTTTATAAAATTACTGAAGATTTAAGACTTTAATAACTTTAAATTAGTTATTAAGATAAACCACAGCTATAAATCTCCTTTTAATTTTGTTATCTTTTAAATTAAGTAGTCTAAAAGGTGAGGGTATAACTTAATTCAATTGAAAGGTGACTTCCAGGCTAAATAGTTATTATTCAATATGTTATTTTCCTTAGATTTAGAGCAATCTTTCCGTTGCTTTGAGTGCAACTACATCCAACTGTCTATTGATAATGGACTGGATACCTGAATGAGTATGAGGGCAGATTTAAACCTAATTATACTTCAGAGAAAATTTTTACTTGTAAATAGGAGCATTTTAACTAAATGCTAATGACAATTACAGTTGTGATGCTGGATATTGTACCAAACTAGATTTTTATCTCTTTTAAATGAGACATTAAAGGATGCTGAAAAGCTGTGAGTCACTTTTCCTTACCTTTCATTCCCAGTGGCTAATTTCTGATAGTGTGCAAATATAGGCATGCCTAATGTGTGCACAGGAATGAATACAAACCTCAGGCTGAAATCATGATGAAAATCAGGAAATTCATGGTTGTGGTTCAAGATTTATAAAAGATCTCTACTTGTGACTATAACCTGGGTGATTTTTTGTCCTGAAGCTACAATGAAAGTATGCATAAGGAAAAGCAAAATTAATTATTAATTAATAATATCTGCCTAAATCCATATTGTTAATCTTTTCTGAGAGGGAGAGCAGACAATCTATTCCTTATATATTAAAGTTCTATAGCAATTTTTTCAGTTGTAAAGTATGAATCATTAACAGAGATCCTCAGGCTAATATGGAAACTGCCTGGGAAGTCATTCCTTGGGCTTCTTAATTTTGTGGCAAGCTGCAAATGCAAAACTAATGTTTCATGCTTTTTTATACTGTAACATGCTGTATTCAGAACTAAACCCAAACTATTTCCAGCTTAACTGTCCAAATATAACGTTTCTGGTTCTCCTCTCTGGGAGCAGGGTAAGTCTTTCTAAAGCAGAAAACTGCGTTCCTTCCCAAAGGGAGTAAGTGGCAGACAGGCCATTTTTAGAAATGCACACTACATTTAAAACACATCTGTCAAAGATTACTATTCTGCAAAAATTTGCAGTTTCTAGAATGAAGAAACCTTCAACTCTGAATATAATGCTCATTATCTACACAAAACCAGTTCCTTTATGTACTGTGGAAGTAGAAAACACTGTCCTACATCAAGAAGAAAAATACTAAGAAATAGCTTCTTTTTGAAAATAGAAGGAATCTTTGCTGAGAGTGTAACCATGAACTCTTGCCCTCTTACTGAAACCACGGAATGTCCTCTTCTGAAACACATCATTGATGTGTATGCATATTTTAAATGAAGAGGCTTTTGTGTTTCAGTTTTTTTTTTTTTGATGCACTATACCAAAATTCTAGATCAAGAAAAAGCGGCTTCAGCTTTGCTGATGTCCAGATTCAAAGTACACCTAATATTATAATCTTGCATGTTCTTTGCTTTTGGTAAAGCAATGGAATTTTGAATTTTGATAAGTAGGCATAAGAAATGATGTGACATTTTCAGCAGGATGGTTTTGAATCTGAATTCTGAATTGCACAAAATAATACTGTATTTTAGCCTACAGAAACCTATTCCTTTTGAATGTACAGATGCCATGCTAGAAGTGGTGTGCATTTTGTACGTGTGTTTTGTAATATGGAATCACAATTTATTAATTGCAAAAGGAAACCTTAAGGGATAGGACATGCTTTTTGCTGTTATTTGTGATTAGTAATTAACATCCTTCAGGTCTGAAAGTATCTAGGGCTGCCAACGTACTCTATAGAATTACTTGTTTTCTGCAGTTATGATAAGCATTCTGGTATGGCCTCTACAACCCTGGTTGTGTGTGGAGTACTCCTATAAATAACCCTGCTGTTTAGTGTTCATATAGAGCTATGGGACCTATTCTTCATGTAAACTGAGAAGCTGAAAAATGCTCTGCCTTCAGATAACCTCCACTGATTGACAATAGCCATTGATAGGGGATAACATCACAGGGACAAATCTGTGCCAATAAACTCTAAAATACCACAGTGTTGGAAAATGTGATTGGCAACCAATCACTGAAAACATTTAAAATAGAATTTGACATACTTATATCTCTCTTACAGATCACTTACTTTGAGATGTCTGAGTGTCTATAAACTTCTTTATCAAGGCATCAGTAGTTTGTGTGTAAAGGCTCAAAGCATATTTCAAGGACTGTAGGTCTGGGCTCTTTTCCAGGAAATTCTTTTTCAGCCCACTGCCTCCAGCATGGAAGTATTGCTACAATGAAAACCAAATATGGTTATTCAGAGAGACAATTCATCTGAGAGAGGCCTCGTTACTGATGCAATGTTAAGTGAAATTTTTACACAACTTCAAAAAGTAACAGCTGGCATGTGGAGCTGGATTTATAATTGCAGCAGTCGAGGTAACTATCATAATTTTTACTACTGAGCTGCTTTCTAAAGGTAGGAATGTAAGCTTTGTGGGAGAGAAAATAAACTACATTTTAATTTTGGTCTTCATGATCTCAAGTATTTCCATATCAAAACTTGGGTTCTTTTAGGTTGTGGAGAGTGGAATCAGCCTTAATTCTTTATATAAAAATCTTCTCTGAAAGCAAGGCATGGTTTACAGCACAAGAATGTATTATTTTTGAGGAAAGGGAAAATTTGTTAAAACTTAAAAAGATAAGATCCTAGAATATGAAGTTTTGGATTAGAATTGCATTGTGATTATCCCAGAAATTATGATTACACTTTGAGAAATAATAAGAAATTCTGTGGCAGTTTCCATGGTGATTATCTTTTTGATTCCAATTTTGACCTCGTTTATTGTGGATATGCAAAAAACATGCGTGTCATCCTTGTCTGACCACATTAGGGTTTCCTGAACTGTAATAGGAAAAGGATGGGAGAGAAAAGGTTGGTAGTGCCCTTGAAGACAGTGTACATTTCGCCCTTTAAAAGAGTGTTTCCTTTAAGGCAGAATATTTGTGCTTGCTTTACGTAGTTTTCTTTATGCAGACCGATGAATGATGGAGCAGTAAACCACTATGCCAGTGGTGTTTCCTGCTAAATTAGCTTAAATACTTTAAATAACGACTCCTGATCTGCTGGCATAGCTAAATTTGGAACAAAATATGTTTACCTCTTTGATGCCATAATGACTATGTAAACTATTGCAAGTATTATATGTTGTTTCCAATCCCAAAGCTGAGCTCACAAAAATTAGGACAGATTCCTCCCTCCCTTCTTCCTCCCAGAATGAAGATTATTCCCTAAAATTTTATAAAAACAGTGGTTGATGAACTAGTGCATTTAAACTACAAAGAAAAAAAAGTATATATATGTGTGTGTGTATATATATATATATATATGTATTGGCTACGTTAGTAGTATTTCGTTCAAACACTTCGAAAAGCATTTACGTTACAGTTTTAGGTCTCAAGAGTGATATAGAAAGCCCCTGGTAATGGCTAATTAGTAAAAGCAATCAATGTTTTCTCAGGAAAACACTGTGACTACTTGACAGGCAATATTGGTCCACTCAATACCGGGACTGTTGGGCATTCTAAGTAGAATCTGTTGTCTCTGCATTTCTGTAGTGTTGTCGAAGGGATATATGCAATATATACATTTCAGTTCACATACACACATACATATATACTATGTGATTTATCCTAAGCTTCTCTGTGACAAAGCAGACCATAGTCCATACACACCCATTGTTCCTCAAGATGTTTGCAGGAGATGAAACATAAACATATGTTTCATAGCAAAGTCATTATTTACATTTCTATATTGATGTCTACTGATTGTTACGGGGGGGGGAAATCCGTGGGAGCAAAAAAAGGATTTGAATTCATCAGGCTGACAAGTTTTATATTGTTTTAATCCTATGTGGGCAGTTAATGTCAATTTAAGAGGTTTTGAATAAATTATCTTCTCATCTTACATGAAATGTGTATCTTCCCACGTGAATTATTTCATACTATATGTTCCAAAGAAATCTGTCTTAATTGTTTAAAACTGTATTCGTTATTTCACTAAGGATCTTAATTTATAAGCAAATGTTAAAATCTGTTAATATTTCCTGGTATTGTGACAATCAATTTGATTTTTTTGTAATTAGTTCTATCTCCCAATAAAATGTTATCTGCAGCAGCAGCTCCATGATAACAGACCTTTAAAGAAACAGGGACACCTGACCCTAATTTTCCTGAGCTTTTACATATTCTTTTGCCTATAAAGGCTAAATTTAGCATTGTAAAACGAATGTTGTGAATATATCATAAATACAGAAAAATGAGTATACAGAGTTTTACAGATTCAGTTAGACACCTAATACCCTGTTCTTTAGGGATGCAAGCCTTAAAATAGTTCATCTGCTACTCAGTCATACTCCAGTCTAAGAGTTTTCAAGGCTCAGAGGTGACAAGAGAGGCTTGAACGGCATACTGACAAATGAAAGGTGCAGACATAAGTGCATAATGTCAAGTATGTGGAAATCAATGCTGCAGCTGCTGCAGGCACAGCCAAAACTTGACAAATGCCACACAAGTCATAGTGGGTGGGAGGTTAACTTTGTAGAGTGCCTTTGGTTTTAGGGTGCATGCAAAGATAAAAATAGAAAACGGCATACTATTATCAATTGACATTATCTCTGGCCAAGATAACAAGATAGCTGAGAGAACTCAGTTTGAGATAATAGGCCAGAAAGCCACTTCTCCTGACAATAAAATGCAAATTATGCTAAAAAATGTAAGTTTAAATTGGCAAGGTTCTCTAAGACTGATGATATGCTACATGCATTTAAGATGAAAGAGATTATTCCTTTATGTTCTTCAAAGCATTAACACCACCATCATCTAGTAAATTCCAAGTTGCTCAGCAAATTAATTTTTGGTACTAAAAATTAGACTAATGAAAGTTAAAAAAAAGACTGCAAGCATAGAGATCAACCTCCTCCTCAGTCCTTCTCTTATAATGATCAGTTGCTTCATTTTTGAACAGATACCATATGCCATTTTTATCATTTTCTTATTCTTATTTGGGTAGCCATTTCTTTTGCTTTTAAACAAACCATGCTCTGGGAGCACACAATACTTCAGCATTTTGTTCCATTTCTGTTTTCACAATATCAGTAATCACCAAATACTATTTTTATTTCTGAAAGAAATATAAATTCTACTGCAAGTACAAAAAATGGCAATTAGGAGCCCTCTCTGATACTTCTTTCTTTTCCCTTGAGATGCTATTTTGTTGCACAAGACTTGATCATGAATACGTCCACTTCAGTATGTATATAAGCTTCAATTTCATATTTAAGTAGCAAACTCCTTACTTTCCTGATGTGCTGTCTCTTCAGCAGCAGACATAAAAATATCTTGTTGTTCTACAAATGTATTGCTTTCAAGATATTTACAGCAAGTAAAGATTCAGGCCAATGTGAAAAAGATTGATAAATACATCAAATGGCTTCTTTTGACTTCAGAAACCACATCTGTGATGACTGTATAAAAGCCTCAATTTTTTTAATTAAAAAAAAATTAAAAAGGACTTTGTTAATCTCTTTATTTTTACATTTGGAGCATAATGCAATAACAATAAAATGAGTGGAAGTGAAGAAAAATTTTCCATAACATTTCATCTGGTTTATGGCCTGATGCTTTCATCCTGTCAGACACGTTAAGTCTTAGAGTTACTTTATCAATTACCAGTAAATTGATCTGTATTTCTAGTAATGAGATTAGCACCAGGTATGGTTGGAGGGATTTTCTCTAATAAGAAATGGTTTTTAACAGGTGTGTGATTGATGGCTCTGGTTTTTTTTCCCACTGAAAAGGGACCAATGTGTAGAATAATTAAAAAGCATCTTTAAATTAATTCAAATTATTTATGAGGGACTGTAAATTCTGTGGTGAATTCCAAACTGCAAAAGGTTGATAAAATTCAACTGCACTTTTAATTTAAGAGAGCGCACAGTAATGCATTGTATTAAAAACCTTATTTTCTGGTGTTCTACAAAAAAACATGCGTCATACACATTTGCAGGAGAGTGCAGTGAGGAATAAACACACTTTTCAGGCTCAGTGTCTCCTTTGTGGGAGAAAAAGAGGCTATGCTGCAACATAATAAGGATTTAGCCCAGCTGCTTCAGCTGCACTAAGTCTAAGCATTAAAGGAACACGAATCAGATAAGCTTTGGCCACCAATTCCTTTCAGGGAACATATTCTGTCTGCAACTGGTAGAGTATTTTTTTCTGACTTTTCTGCAAGCAGACTCTCAGACATTTGCTTTCAAGCCAGTACAAGGAGCTTTGTTTCAAATGGTTCTTGACATTAAAGGGATCTTTATGATTCTAAGGTCCCATTCTGTATTAGATTTTGTAGGTTACATCCATCATGCTCTTGGTCATTTAAACACAGAACAGAAAAACATGTAAAGCTGTACCTTTATAGTTGCTAGCGCCACTTCCATTATTGCACACTGCCTCAGGGTCAGGCTTCTGGCTTCCTCTCGAATCACATGGTCCTGCAAAGCAAGTTAAGACTGCAGTTGGTTTTGAGACAGTATTGTGGCCTGTCTGTGCTTGGAAAAACAAATAAACAAAGCAAGCCATCAAATGCTCCTCAAGCCTCTATGATTAAGAGGGATTAATTCAACTTCATACTTCTTTTACAACAAATTAGAACCTAGAGCAATCACATGTTTCTTGAAAACACAGGCTGGAGGGATAAAGAACCAATGTTTAATACTGAGCACCTGTGTAGCTTTATTTCTTTTCCTAAGATATAGTATTTCTCTCTTGGGGGGGGTGGGGACAGGGAAAAGATTAAGTATTACGTTTAAATAATTAGATGACACTGAGATAATTGTATTAATAAACCTGACAGTTTAACTAACATTTGTTAGTGCCCTCTGTTTTTTTAAAAAGGGTTTCCTATTAGAACCGAAGTTAAAGATTTATAAAGTGACTACACTCATGTGAAATCTTTTCCTAAAATAAGCATCCTCTGATTTACTTAGGCAGTATTTTAACTCCTCTAGCAAACTGAGCAATTGTTCATAGAAGCATGAATTACCACATTTCTGTTCAAAACTGAAATCCTAATGGAAAATTGATTGGCAAACAAAGTGACATCAATATCAAGTGACTGAGCTCTCCATCAAGTGTGTTACGGACTTCAGTACTGTAGTGCTGATGAGTTCATTGTAGAGGTACATCCTGTATTTCAATACACACCATAAATAATACACAGAAAGAAAAATTACTGTATCCATACCTTAGAGTTTTTAAAGAACTGGTTCTAAAAGGCAATGAAAAGATCTCATATTTGTGATGTTTAATGCTTAGGAGACCTATTTGTGCAACACAGCAATGATCTCTTCTTCATCTATCTAGTGATGACTTACCATAGAAAGCATACATTCTTATCGTCTTAATTTGGTTTGATGAGACTGGAAAATCATTATTCACCTGTTAATAGTTTCTGCCATATTCAATCTTACTATTGTAAATAAGCAATAAGCAATAACTGTAAATAAGCAATATTATTGTAAATAAGCACAAGAATCATGCATGGCCTTATAGTCACTAATATTTCATCCATTTCTTTTCATTAGAGCAAGCCACTCACAGTTTCATTTGGCCCCATTACCTTGAGTTTTGACAGTTGTCCAAGATCTTTGGCTGCACTGAATATCATCTGGGGCCCCTGTAATCACACAGAAAATTCAGGAAACAGACTCACTACAGCGTGTTTGCTTTTTATGTCAACATGATCTTATTTTCTGCTAGGACATCAGCCAAAGCCACTGTTTTGCAAAGCTAAATAGAAATTTCAATTACACGAGACGTATTTTCATCCAGTTGATAAGGCCAAGTGGTTGAATGCCTGCAGCATGATTCCCTCTGGTATCACATATTTGATACAAATATTGCGTGTTCTGTTGATAGTGGTTTCTTGTGCTCCTGTCTCTTCCATTTAAAATTTTGAAGCTAAGGCTGGAATTATTCTTATAGAGCATATCAATGAGAGATCTGACCATAATCATAGCACTCAGGTGCTAATATAAACAAATACTTCAGCACAAAGGAAGCTGAAAACGCTTAACTGTCTACAGTGACATCTCAGTTGAGTCACACACAGCACAACAGTGTGCTGTTAAGCCAAAACCATTTCTTTTTTTAAGAAAAGATACCAGTGTTACAAACTTAAACCAATATTTTACAATAGCCAAATCCTGGAATGTCACCAAAGGCCAATGACTACATGTTTGTCTTAGACAAACAGAATCCACGGTTACGTGTTTATCACAATTACTCCAAGAAATACAATTACTAGTGCATTATTTGGTAGTTCAGCAAGACATAGTTCTGAATATCTGGATTTCAGGAAAAAAGAAGCCAGTCCCACTTACACAGCACAATGCAGACCAACTTTTCATTAAACTTTCTGCTCCAAAACATTTCAGTTTCCAGAAAAAAAAAACGCTTCTGTATGGTTCAATTGCAAAAGATGTGATACAGAACCATAGCTGAAATTGTCAGTATTTATTAGGAGTGACAATAGTAAGATATACCCCAAAATTACAAAATAAACAAATCCAAATGTCTGTACCTCTCACCTCAGACAGAAAGTAATATTCAAGGCTACAAAAGGGAAACATTTCTCTTACAATACTCTGCTTTTCATTGATTTTGTTTAATAGTGTGTTCAGCAGTAAACAGAGCTAGCAAATTAAAGGCAACTGGCTATACACCTTTCACCATGCCTGCCAACAGGGACACTTTATATAGAGGCTACCATAATAAAACCCAACAACTGGTCAAATGTAGCAATTACATGCGATACAAGCACTAATCCAGTAATGTGCCGGGACACTTACAGTTTGGTCCGTCAGTGGTGGAAGCACAATTTGTTTTTCTATTTTGTTCAAGACTAACTTCCAGAGCTCCTTTAAAACCCGTTTCAGAACTGTCTTCTCACAGATTTTCGCAGAGACACTTAAACTGGAATAAACAAAACACAAACCAGTCTCCAGCATCAAGACTTCAGAGGTGGGGTATCACATATACTCAGATTAATGGACATTATGGTTTAGCTTTTCTCTACCAATGAGTATTTCTCAATGGATTAGTTATTTTTCATATTAAGAGTGAATAGTTTTGGTAAAAAGAAAACACATGCAGATCATAAAATCATGTAAATCTCCATTTTCCAATTTGATACTTATTATAGTACTGCTATATATTTATTGAAAAAAAGCAAAATAATGCTGAGTTATGCAGTTTGATGGATGAAACAATTTAGCATTCCTAAGCCCCTAAATTAAAGTTTTATTACATTGTTTATGTCTTAAAAATAAAACCCAAACATCTCCTTTGTCCTGTGTTTCTACTGTGATGGAGAATTGAGTGCTGATAGCTAATGCAAATTCAGGGCTATCATTTGGAAGCATTTAATTCTATATATACTGGCAAGTCTGTGCAATCACATCATGTATTTCTAACACGGTCCACATACTTACATTTTTTTCTTTATTTAAGTGCATATTCATAAACCATCTTGTATGTATTGCCATGATTAAGTAGTGTCATGAGTAAAGTGCTGCCTTTTTCAGGCATAGGAGGAATATTTCATATTCATATCATGCAAATGCTTTGGTGGGTAATTTTACAGAATTGTATCTATTCATGTAAAGAAATATTGTAACATCATTATACACATCACATCATAAATATGCCAATTCATATTTCTAGCATCTCTTACTACTCCCTTGTAAGCAAATAACTAAAACGTTAATTAAGAAATAATGGAAACCCAGACCATATTAACATGCTATGTCTGTAGTCCTTATAGAAGGAAAGGTGATACTCCCTAACAGTTTTGGTTTGTGGGTTTGGTTTGGGTTTGTTTTTTTTTTTTCACGTCTTTATTTTCTGTGCATGGGCTCAGCATCTGCTAAAACTCCACTTACCATTCCTGGGGTGAGGAGTATTTTCTATTCGGACAGTAATTTAAAACTCATTTTAGTTTCCATTATGCCATTATTCAACTAACTCTCTAAGAAGCTATGAAGTCAACTTTGAGAAATGGCAATTTGGGATTGAACGTGACAAGCAAAAAGTCAGCTCACCAGTTTTTTTAAGTGAGCTTAGGACAGCCTATGTATGTGTATAAACACTTCTGGCTTTTCTTCAAGACTTGTGCAAGCAGTAAATGTTTTAACTCAAAGACAGTTAATATTTAAAATCATACTGCTTGAAAGCAACACATACCCCTCTTTTAGCTTAACACATGGGACGAGGTACACTGCTAAAAATAGGTTGACACACACAGATAAAGCAGCTAAAATTTCTTCTGGGCCAGGAACCCAGGCAAAATATGCAAACAGATTAAGCCTAGTACTCTGCACACATGCAAGTACTACAGATATTAAAAATACTACAACATGTTTCTAGGTCTTAATGATGCTTCAGGGCAAAACCACCTATGCCTGACTGTAGTGTCCTGTTCCTAGTCTGCCACACTTACGTTTTGTCCAGGAAATCCATGAGAGGCCGAAGCACAATCTCAGCATCAATGGCTGCACTGTTCTTGTTGGCTGCTGCATTCCCATTTCCTCTCATTTGATTCAATTCGTTGCTCATTTGTCTTATGCAATCTTCAATAATCAATTGGAAACTACAGGATGGGGAAAAAAAAAAGAAAAGAAGAGAATGACGAAATTCCGTTGACAGAAACCAACATATACCATTTTGTATCAGGTTCTTCAACAAGACTTGAATCTTCTCTGCAATGATGGAAAGTTCACAATTGCAAGATACTGCAGGTGTTACAGATGAAAAATAACACCTCCCTAAGGATTACAGTTCATAGAACTAATTTATGTACTGTTTTGATCCCCCCCCGTTTCTGCTCTGTCACTGTGCTTTTCATGACCTTAGAGGTGTGCCAAGTAGTTATTTTCTGGAAGCCATAGGGGTCCCAGAACCTGCAGTTCAGTCTATGACCGACTTAACAACTAGCAACAACTTCCCAAGGTTTTATTTTTCTGTGAAAGGGCAATAGGAACAGCTGACTATAAATTATTTTTCTCTTGATGGTTCGTATGAACCAATCTCTCATCCTTTTCTTGAGGTCAAATAGAAAACTGCTACTGATTTCACCCCATTTAGCTCTATTTGACCATTTCCTAAGTTTCACAGAGCCAGCACCATCAGAAGCTTGTGTATTTATTCACAACAAGACAGAGCTAAAACATTTGGGCTGTTTAAAATATTCTTTTGCAAAAAAACCCCAAACGAACAACGCCAACCCCCTAAACAGAAGGCAGACTCTTCCTCCCGGAAGGAATCTTTTCTACTTCAAGGTGTGTGGGAACAAATTCTTCCTGCACAAGCTGTATCTGGTCAGTTTTTCTGAAGACTGTTCCATTTCTTAATTGATCTGGTTGGGCAACGTGCCTGACAGTCTTTGTGTCATCGATGTGATACAGTCTTCAGTCGATATATTTAAACAATGCAGAACAGCGGTTCATCACAGTCAATAGTTCCGAGGCAGAATAAGTCTCAGCACACATGGTAGTTTGGTTTATGGATTGATTCATGATGAACTGAATTTGTTTAGGTTTATTTATGAACAGAAGTGCAAAATGGAGGCCATAAATACACCAGGCCTATTAATGTGAAACAATAAATGGCAGAGATTAACTTGAGGAATGTGAAAGAATTTACTGAGAGAAAAGAAATGTTACAATCAGACAGTGAGCTATTCCAGCTACATGGCTAATCATAAAAAAAGAATCCAATTTTCCATGTGGAAGCACTGGAAACTTTTTGAAGTACATTTGGATGTGTACTTGCCTACACACTTTAAAGCCCTAGATAAAATCAACATGAAGTTGTTACTGAAGCCGCTCATGTAAATCCTTCTGACTGATCCCTCCAATAAAAGCCAAAATAGTGCACTGGCTTTTCTTGTCATCACCCATCTTTCTAATATTGTTAACCTCACAAATTCCAGCAATAAACTGACCCATGAGGAGTGCTGTAGCTACCTGGAGCATATCCTAGATTGAACTGTCCCTGGTTTTATTTGCAAAAACCCAGTTGGTTCATTCAGAAAGAAGCCCTGGAAAGAAATAATATTCATGCACTGTCAATGATCTGAGAACCAGGGCTGGGGGCAAAAATAAAGGGAGACAATATGATGAACTAAGCACACTCAGAAAAAAGCGCACACTGGCCACCCAGCCAGTTCAATAGATTAAAAAAGCAACTGCAGACTTTGCTTAATGAATACCACTACAGCACTAATTCCTCTTTTCTTAGATTCCTTTCTAATTGGGAGCAAAAATATCTTACAGCTTTTTATAGCAAAGGCACTGCTGGCACAGCACCATATTCATTCAGGACTGCAGCAGGCACTCTGATTAAAGAAAGATTTTGAGAGTAAGGCTCATCAGACAATTGTTGCAGAGCTACAGGCAAGCTGGTGACCCAAAGAAGGCCTTTCCCTGTGACCACTTGAAGCGGGCTAAACATAGGCAGACATCCCCAGCTGAAGCAGGCTCTCAGCCTCAGGAAGTAACATAAACATGGTCAGAGAGAGAGGTTTAATATAGCATCAGACAAGAAAAGCCCAGCAATTTTTGTTTTCCAAAAAGCAGAACAAAAGCCATCAGCCTCACCTTGTAACATGTTCAGGCCCACAGATGATTTTCAGTTTTCTTTACAGCGAAGTTACTGCTGTATGTTTCAGAGTCTAAACATACACACACACAAGTGCACACCACTTCATCAGGGAAGAAGCAAGCTTCACCTCAGGACATCCAAACAACCACCCAGACTTAATCAACGAGGTAGATTTTTGAAGAGGAATATTTCTCTAAGGTTTGCTGTAAAACAGGTTCGTTACCTTGCAGCGTATGTTACACTGAGTTCATCCAACACGTTGCTAAGTTTCACCTGAAGTTCTTTTAGAAGAACACTAGCTTCAGGATCCAACTGTAAAGAGAGAAGTAATGTTATATTCTACTTATACACTATGTTTTGGGGTTTTCCATTACAATTAATGAATTGGGAATTACGTGCAATGGTACACTGCACTATGGAACACCAAATGTGGAAACACCTCTTACAACACAGGGTTACTTTAGCAGGCCTAAAAATTCAATTACCACTTAAAGAAAAATACAGAAGTGAAAAATTATATTATTAGAAATCAAAACTGTGCCATTAAACAATGTCTTTCTATAGGATGGTGTAAATTCTGTTAGCACTCACAAAACCAGAACTACTATTAGCAGACAAATGGCGTTCACAAGGCATACCAAGAGAAAGACCATGAGAAATTAGTACCTGCATTAATAACACTGCACGTCTTTATCTTTTAATTACTTTTTTACATTTCACCACTGTCAGTAACTTTTTTGTGATTTGTGTCGAGGATGTTTCCATACTCCCAATAATGCAGTGTAGAGACAGAATAGCCAGCACTGGAAAATGTAGGCTGAAGACTATCCATGCTACTCCTATTGACGTAATGTGAGGGAGGGGGATCTACAGTACTTGTGTTTCTAAAAGCCATTAAGGCATACATAATTCAAGCATGGAGTAACACACTGTGATGCACAGGGAGAACAGCTCTTGTACATCTGTTACGAGTTTTTTTAAATGCAGGAAAGAAGCGAATGCAGGGGAGAAATAGATTTCTGCATTGAGAGGGATGGGGATCCATGCATAGGTATTTAATCAAAAAGGTTCTCTGTGATACTGATCTGCAACTTGTTTATTGGCTAAGTGCTCTTTTTCAAATTAAAAAAAAAATAGTATGACTTTTTGTCTCTTTGAGCTTAAGCTTTTGGGAAAAATAGTTACAGTCGATTGCGGGATGTGGCTGATGATCATCAGGATCAACAGCTGAATGTGAGTTAATAGCTGATGTTCCAGGTCATTCAGCTATCTACATAACAATCTTGAGGAATGATTTTCACTTAAAATCCTCAAATTCTGCGCTCTGTTCTGCAGGAAGGCCCAGCACAGATCTCCTGACATTTCAAAGGAAGCTGCACATTCAGAATACATAATCAGGTCTGTCTCTATTTGTGTTTTCATATCTTTCATTTCACTAGAGAATTATACTGCCTCTGGTGGGATACATATGGAACACAAATTTAGGACCGCTAGGATATTAGCATTTAACAAATACCGAACACACAAGCATTAACACTGAACACTGTACACATCAGAGAAAACACAAAATACCAGGCAGGCAAAAGACTCAAATTTTCTTAGCAGATCATGCATAAGCTGGAGAATCGTCCTATCACTGGGCCTGCAAAGGCCACTGTAGTTACTTTTTATCAGAAGTTGTTGTGATAACCAGAAAACACAATATATTTGCTAAATTCACCTGGAACTGGACTTAGTCTGGCCAAAATTGGATTAAATACTAGTATCAGATTGTGGACGTAAGACACATTATAAAAAGGTGCATGCAAGCTCTAGACGTTTTTAGAGGGCTTTGTGCTCACAAATTGCATGAACAAGTTTGTGTGTGCACAGCTGGAGACATCTGGCAGAACATCCAGCCCTGTGTATACACATGCTCATGCTTATTAATGCAGTGTCATAGGCAGGAGTGGAATATAAAGAGGTATGCGGGCTGACCATCCAGGGGCTACATACTGAGGATGTCGTGCTAGCCAAGAACGTGTTAAATGCTACTGTTATTTTTGTTTAACTACTGGACAATATGGTAATTCGAGTGCCTCACCAGGACTAAAATGTGCACTTTTCATTTATTTTACCATGTGCTTTCATGTGCTACCGAGTTCCCAGGGCAAATCATAGGGTATCAGCCCTTAACTGGCATCATCCAAATATACCACAGCCATTCTGCTATCGTGCAGCTAAGATGGGAATTGTTATGGTGATTCTGTACTGAGAAGTTCGGGGGGGGGACCTCACAACTGGTAAAAATGGTTTTAGGATTGCCTTGTGCAGTGGAGATGTCTTTTTTCAGTACCTCTGCACATGACTCACTAACTACTGTGGATTATCTTCTGTACAACTTATCTTTCATGCATAAATTAATCTATTGATATTTTTAATACTGAACATATTTTAAGCAAAGCAGCTATGGTGCTTTACTAAAATCCAAAATTCTGTAGAAAACGCACTGCAGTTGAAGCAGGAAGGGTTACTTTCTCCCTCAAATATTCCTAAAGGCTGTGGTTCCCAACATGACAAAGCTGTGCAAAATCATCACAGTTTCGCAACAACAAGCTCAAAAGGGAATTTTATTTGTGCTTTAGAAGGCTCTATTATTTCAGCAGTGGTTTGAGCAACTCCTGCTAACACATTTTATACCAGGTTTCCTTATTCTCAGGAAAGCGTGGTGTGACAAATGCACTATTGCAGCTGTGCAAACGGTTTGGCTTAATGAAGCTGTCAAGCTGCAAGACTTATATGCAGATTGACATCACAACATTCCCTTCTGCAGACAGTTACATATAGCTCTCAAAACCACTATGTAAAGAAGGTAGGTTTTCCAGTGAGGAAAATCAGTGATAAAGAGATTAATTCATTTTTCTAAGGCGTTCAGTGACCAAGACAAGTCATCCTCAGTATTCTTGTCTTGGCTGAGATTAATTACTAGCAAGGGAGCAACAATAAAACCAACCATCTCTGTTTCATGGGCCGACCTGTTTCTGTACAGAGTGCTATATTATTATAGGAAGTGTATAAGAATACAGGTAAATGCAATCTGTCATTCTTCGTACTAGTTACTATAAGCACTTTAAGAAAATAGACTCAAACATGCTCAGCTGCAGAAATCTCAGCTACCCAGATGTGGTTACATGATGAATTACAGGACTAACCTAGCCATAATGTTACCCTATTTTGCAATCTACCAGAAGAAAAGGATGAAAGCAAGACAAAAGGCAATGCTGATCGGCATCTAAGACATCATACAGGGATATACAGATGTGACCATGGAGGATCTACAATACTGGGGAATTTTTCTCTTCAAGTCTCATCTGCTTTATAGAATTTGATGAAGAAGGAAAAAATAACAAGCCATGCCTAAATGACTTTTCAGGAAAATAAGAGGGAAAACACCAAACTAACTGATTATGGGGGGAGTTGGGGGGGGGGGGGGGGCGAGGGGAAGGAAGAGAGAGAACGGACATGAAAGAGAGAAAAGACCAATTATCCCTTAGCTTCTTGGTTTCCATTTATAGTCCACAGCATGTGTGGGCTTAAAATACAGTGGTAGGTTGCCCAGGTAGCAAAGTCTGAGTTTTTTCTAAAGAGCAAACTTTGGGTAGCTGAAATATTATTAGACCGTTAACATGAAAATCATTGTCTTGTAGCAATTCTTAATTCCCTCGGCTTTCTTAGGTTGATAAGTATTTCCGTTGCTTACCATCCTCTTATTTAAGAGTTACAATTTAACCTAAACAGAAATTACTTGTAAATTTGTTAGCACACTTCAGAAGATCTGTTGCTTTGGGATTATTAAATAGATAATGAGAAGTTCGACATTTTCTGAACGCTAGACATAAGCAGATCACACTTTCGCTGAATCAGTAAAAAAATAAGACATAAGAAATATTTGAACATCACCGTTTCCAAATGCTGCCTGTCTAAAACTGAATGTTTTTATACACACGATCCTCATAAAAGTGTTAAAGATTTGATGAATTTGACTGCTTTTGACATAATGTATTAGACTGAGCTACTCCATGTTGTAATTTACAGTGCGTTAGTATGGACATAATCTTGTTAACTGCAAATTTGGTAGCACTTCTATAGGAAACTACAGACACACAAATTCTTTTTGCATGAGTTAAACAGAACCTCTCTAATCCGAATTCCATTTATCTGCAATTTCAGAGCTCTAACTGCTTAGTTTCCTAATGGGACCATCTGGTTGCCCCTGTTCAGAAGACAGTTGTATATCTAGGAAAGATACACATATTTATCAGATCTGTCACTTCAATGGTTCTTTTTGTCTCTGATAGACATGATCCTTCCTCCACCCCACCACCCTACTATTCCATCTTGAGACGCTTGGCTGCCACTGCTCGAAGTACTAAAGCCTCTGACTATACAGATTTAAAGATGGACACTTCTGAACTGTTGTGCTTAAGTTGGCCTCTGTCTTTATGACCATTCCTACAGGAATTCCTAAGGATCACATGTAAAGTTGGAATTGAACTTAACCAGAGTGGAAATATGATTTACCTACAGCCAAGTTAATACTGTTATACAAAAACAACCTGCTCTTGTTTTTCAGCTTTTTGATCCTAATTGCTGTAACTCATTTCTGCCATGTTCTGCGATCTGGTGAAAAGCAACAGAAGCACTAACTTTATGCTTTCCCTTTTATCAGCTTCCAACTTGTCAGACATGAAAACAGGACTTAGTGCAAATGTATACACTCCTTTTGGAAGAAGCAAACAGGAGCGAAAACACAATTCTACATTATGATAAACTGGTCCCATCATTTTGCACTTGATTTGTTTTAGGTATCCAGCAGGTTGGGTCCCACTTTACTACTCTTACTTTACCATGGCTGACCGTCTTGTTTATGCAATTGCAATTGTAATGTACCCCTCCTGCTTGGCTACAGCAGAAGAAGGTTGTTAATAAAGAAATTCATATTGTTCAAACTACTTTATTTTAATGGCAGGGGAGCTGAGAGCCGACTTTTTTCTCTATTTATAGAGCTCCCTGCCCTGCAATATGCAATAAGCCTGCTCGGAACATAGGGACTGCTGCCTGACCGTGGTATTTTGACTGCGTAGTTTGAAAGATGTACTGTTCACAATGTGACACTGAGGAGATTAACAGCATTTCATTTTTCTTAGAATTAGTTTTGCTTCAACTGAATTAGGTCTTATTATTCCACTGAAAATCATCTGGCTTTTTATGCCCTCCACGAACAAGATATTAAACTATTTTCTCTCTGCTTACAGATTTTATTGCTGGCTTTGTTTCTTATAAGTACCAGTTCAATAAGACAAATTTGCTATGAGAATAGCTAGGGGAGTAAGTATTCAATCTGAAGACAAACATTTTAGAGACACTTTGATACATGTGACAAAAAAAATAACACGAATGCACTTTTCTTCTAGAAATTCCCCCAATGAGAAACAACAAAACTTTGAATGTATTTTTTAGATCTCTTTTTATAGACCACGAATCAAGATGCACTTCAGGTACCAAAGCGAAAAATATCTCCAAATTCTCTCCAAGGGCTGCACACTGCACCACATCTGTAGCAAATGTTGCTTTGAGACTGTAACATCCTCATTAATATCAAAAAGGAAAGGAAAAAGGATGAGAAGTGATGAGAGATTTTGCAAGAAAGCTGCTATGAAAACTCCTGATTATTTTTTGACTGGATTTGTTGTTATAAAAGCTATCAGGAGCAAAAAGAAAATATTTTGAAGATTCAAGAAAATATTCTAATGTGAAAATAGTTTGACAGATATAGATATAAGGTGTTACTTATGGCGGAAGGTGCTACATAAGGCGGAAGTCATTGCTAGACCACTCTTTATCATCTTTACCAAGTCTTGGGAAACGGGAGAGGTGCCTGAGGACTGGAGGAAAGCAAATGTCACTCCAGTCTTCAAAAAGGGCAAGAAGGACCCGGGTAACTACAGACCGGTCAGCCTCACCTCCATCCCTGGGAAAGTGATGGAACACCTTATCCTTGGTGCCATCTTAAGGCATATCAAGGATAAGAGGGTTATGAGGGGCAGTCAACATGGCTTCACCAGGGGGAAATCATGTTTGACCAATCTCTTAGCCTTTTATGAGGAAATAACAGGGTGGATGGATGATGGCAGAGCGGTGGATGTGGTCTACCTTGACTTCAGCAAAGCATTTGACACAGTCTCCCACAGCATCCTCACGGCTAAATTGAGGAAGTGTGGACTGGATGATCAGGTAGTGAGGTGGACTGTGAACTGGCTGAAGGAGAGAAGCCAGAGAGTTGTAGTCTATGGGGCTGAGTCTAGTTGGAGGCCTGTGACTAGTGGAGTGCCTCAAGGGTCAGTACTGGGACCGGTATTATTTAATATATTCATCAATGATTTAGATGAGGGAATTGAGTGTACTATCAGCAAGTTTGCTGATGACGCTAAGCTGGGAGGAGTGGCTGATACGCCAGAAGGCTGCGCTGCCATCCAGCGAGACCTGGATAGGCTGGAGAGTTGGGCAGGGAGTAACTTGATGAAATATAACAAGGGAAAGTGTAGAGTCCTGCATCTGGGCAGGAACAACCCCAGGTTCCAGTATAGGTTGGGAAACGACCTGTTAGAGAGCAGTGTAGGGGAGAGGGACCTGGGGGTCCTAGTGGACGACAGGATGACCATGAGCCAACACTGTGCCCTTGTGGCTAAGAAGGCCAATGGCATCCTGGGGTGTATTAGAAGGGCGGTGGTTAGTAGGTCGAGAGAGGTCCTTCTTCCCCTCTACTCTGCCCTGGTGAGACCCCATCTGGAATATTGTGTCCAGTTCTGGGCCCCTCAGTTCAAGAAGGACAGGGAGCTGCTGGAGAGAGTCCAGCGCAGGGCAACAAAGATGATTAAGGGAGTGGAGCATCTCCCTTATGAGGAAAGACTTGAGGGAGCTGGGTCTCTATAGTTTGGAGAAGAGGAGACTGAGGGGTGACCTTATTAGTGTATATAAATATATAAAGGGGGAGTGTCACGAGGATGGAGCCAGGCTCTACTCAGTGGCAAACAATGATAGGACAAGGGGTAATGGGTACAAACTGGAACACAAGAGGTTCCACTTAAACTTGAGAAGAAACTTCTCAGTGAGGGTGACGGAACACTGGAACAGGCTGCCCAGGGAGGTTGTGGAGTCTCCTTCCCTGGAGACATTCAAAACCTGCCTGGACACATTCCTGTGTAACATTATCTAGGTGTTCCTGCTCCGGCAGGGGGATTGGACTAGATGACCTTTTGAGGTCCCTTCCAATCTCTAGCATACTGTGATACTTAGCCTTCCTCTGCCCTTGTCTCCATCACGATTTATAGACACTTAGCTGTTTCTATGATTCATGACATTTAACATGCAGGATTGGACCCAAGACCTTAATACAGAAGTACTTCGCATAGAACATGGAAGACAAAAGAATGGAAGACAAAATTATCTGTAATATTTGCAGAGTGAAAGGGGATTAATAGGAACCACAAACCCCAGCCACGACTGGATGATAAATACATCTGTGCAAAGTCTGAGATAAAATTTTCAATGACGACAAGGCTGCTGAAGTTCATTTCATGTTCTCTGCAGCAGGAAGCATTTTTGCCATGGCAGCTTCAAGAAGCTCAGGAAGTTAATCTGTACGTTCATTTGGCAGGTGCTATTCATTCTCACACAGGACTATCTTACCTCTGCAGCGTCCACTGTGGATGTGGAAATATGAAAGGATGTATTTTCTATTTCTTTTTGTAACATGGTCACATTAGATCAAAATTTTGTGGAACTATCAAACTACAGTCTTAAGAAAAAGAGCTGATGTATGCGTAACTTCTTTTTTAAAGCCAACTACTGATAATAAGGACAGGATATTCATGACCTAAATATTGCTTTTTAAGAAGAAGACAGGTTTCTATAGCTTTAAAAATATGTTAATTTCTTAATTAGCTTTCAAAACAGTCAAGAACTATAATCAGCAAAGTACTAAAGCACACGTTTACATGCTTTTACTGTTGACAAGACTTCAGACACTTTAAAGTCTTCTGAAATATAAAAGGAGATAAAGCTCAGCATGTTCTGGACTGCTTTGTAGCAGCTCTCAGTGAAATGGTGCTAAATCTTGAATACAATCAGGCCCTCAGACACTGAAAAGTGCACTTACAAAATGTTTTATAGATTTTTTAGAACCTCTGAAAGATTTTATGCTGTCTGCCTAGTAAAACTTTTCAATTTAGAGTGTCAACTAAATGCCCAAGCATAGCTCTTTTTGATTTTAGATCAGAGGGGATTAACACAAATGCATCAATGGAAATTAGTAGGAAATGTGACTGTTCTTAGCCTTAGAGAAATGGTCAGGAATAATAAAAGATGCTTACTATCACAAACCTCATAAGAGAATCTCTCTCCTTCTTTCTTCTGCTCAGTGGATTGCAAGTCAAAGGCATTAGACAAAGACATGACACATTACAGACAAAGCACAAAGCACATATTCTATGAAATTTTCAGATACAGGCAAAACGTACCAATACGTACAAAAGCAAATAGTCCAATACAAACACTAAAATAAAGCTGGCACTACAGATTGCAACACAAAACACCCAGTGCTGACTGAACTTTACAGATCATTAGCATATTTCTGTGAAACAGTGTCAGGTCTCTCAAGTATTGTCGGGGCAATAAGCACTCTCATAGACTTTTGGTTTTTAAACATTTTGATTTTCTTTGCAAGCAGAAGTGAAGGCTGTGAGTAGGTTGCAAACATGGTGCTAATGATCTCTAAGGAACTTTGAATGAACCAGGAAATATATACGACTCACCTCCTTTCCTCCCATGGACTCAAACATTTTCTCAAGCTGGACTCTTAACTGCTGAATGTTGTTCATCAAGATACAGGGCTGCAAAGAGAGCACCAAATGTGAGACTGCGCATGTTATGTTCCTTTTATATATGAATATGCATATTCATAGCCTCTGGGCTTAAGACTTGTTCTTCAACAGCCCTATGTTCATGCAGTTGTGCTTTTCAGAGGTGAATATAAGATTCTTGATCACTGCTGCCCTCCCTTTAATTCACACTCCTCTCTGCCCAGTCAGCCAACTCACTCTGCCAGTGACTGCCCATTATGCCCTTATGACAGTGTTGTCCCACAGGAAGCTGAGAACCTTCTCCCAAACAGCTGAGCAGTTTTCAGATCTGCATATTTCATGTTCTGGACTTTATAACCCGTGTAGTTGCTAATCATATTCAATTCAGTTACAGTAATGTGTTACCATCTCTTGGAGAACAGACACAATAACGATAAAAGTACTTTACGAATGAAAATAGACCAGAGGAAACAGACTGCCAGATTGCTTTCTAGACTCATTCTTTGCAGACAACTGACAGCACTGCAACCCAGATAATGGGTGATACTTAAGTATTTGAATAATTCAGGAGGCAGTTCTGTTGATAACAGTATTTCAGAAATGTACGCTTTACATTGCTTGAAAAGTTGGTGAATTCTGCAATAGAATTTTGTAAACATACTATTTTAGTCTAAAAATATTGTTGTTTAAGCTCATTTCTTTAGGGCAGAACACAGAGCCACAGTGTAAAAGACAGCAACTGCTGGATAAATAGAAGGTAAAAAGTACAACATAAATAAAAGCTGCTTATTAAAAAATTATGAAAGAAAAATTCTATTACTAGAATTTTGTGTACTCAGATGCCATTTTATGTGAGTTTGGTATGGTGCAGGGGAAGCAATAAGACAGTACTTACTAAAAGAATTGTAATTGGCCAAGGTCAGTGTGATCTAGTGCATAATTGGATTGATTTAGAAACAAGTAATACATTTCAATGAAACACACATATACTTTTTCCTGAAGGTGATGGAATGATTACAGTGATTGATACTCAGTTGTACCTTCCTAGTTAACAGCATGTTAATAGCACTGAAACATGGTAGGATTAGATTTAGGTATTCTAAAGACCAGTAATGTGATTTAATTATTTCTGCATTACTCTCAAAGGAATTTGGTGTCAAAGTCCTTCCCAACTAGAGGAAAGAAAAACCCTGAAATTTTATCTAACTTCTTAATACTTGTATACCAGTATAGCATTTTATTTGCTCTCCTGCAAAAGACAGCTGCCTCTGTATAATGGTTAAAATACCACCTCTCTTCCTGTCTTTCAAAAAATCCACAAACCTCACTTCTTCTATTTGTTTATCTACCTTCTATTAATTTCTGATCACTTTCTCCTCCTCTCCTATGCCATCTCCTCTCTTCTGACATGATTTATTATTTTGGAAATTATCTGCAATAGCACAAATCAATGATTATAGAACAATCATAGAATCAACTAGGTTAGAAAATACTTTTAAGATCATCAAGTCCAACCCTTACTCCTGGACTGCCAAGTCCACCACGAACCCATGTCACTAAGGGCATCTACTATGATACTGATGTGGGAACAAGAAACTGAATATAACAACCTGATTCTTTTGTTCAAGTCAAGTGCAAACGCCTATGGCAATACACTGAAGCTATGAGATAAATACTTCATACTGAGTCAGTTTTCAAAGTTTCCTTTGAGACTGGCTAAGGCTGCTCTTTCAGTCTTAAGTTTACCTTGGCTAAATGAAAAATTTTCTATTGCTGTCAGTAAATAACAGAACCAGATCTTGAAAACATCCTCATTACTTCATTATCATCTTGCCCTTCAGAATACTTTTTGTAGCAATTTACAGGAATCCGCCAGATAGAGCAACACACAAAAATGAATGGCAAGTACAGTACCTAAACCCAAGTTTGCAACAGTGAAAGTATTGACTTGAAAAAGAATGCCAAAATCTAATCATAAAAAGTATTTTTTAAACCTCTTATCAACTCTAATGCAGGAGATGGACTTTTAATAGTTGAGATCAACAGATCAAATGGTCTTTTATTAAGCTAAAAGTATGTATTTCAAAAAGGTAGCTTCGGTTAAAAATATTTGTCCCCAAAGCATTTGATATAATACTTCATACCATGAAGTATTATGAGATTAATTCCATCTAAAGCCTTAGCAAACACTGGCATACCAGGTGGCTTCAGAAATCAATCACCCCAACAATTAACAAATCCCACTGGACGGGGCAAAAGACTTCACAGTTTGACTCGATGACTCAACACTATGTATCAAAACTAATTTCATCTAGAAAGCAGTAAGATTTACTTAGTATTAGCATTAAATTGAGAGAAAATGAAAAAAAAAAGCTACAAATTTTATTTCTTTTTTTCACATTAAATTTTGAGAATAGTTATGGCTTATATTGGATTAAATACAGAGACAGATTAGTTTACATGAAGCTTTGTTTGGCCTGATTAACATAAAAGTACAAGACGTGTAATGCATTCACTCCTCCATACTGGGGAGAGAGTATTATGTTCTCTTCAGCTCTGTATTTGCCCTGGTGGTGACAGAGGTAAGGAATATGTAGATGTATCTGGAATGTTAAAAATACATGAAGATTTACATCCTGCTACATGGGGGGGGGGAATGGCAATATTCTGGGGTGGTCTATCATATATCAACTGGTATCCAGTGACAGGATGTGTGGGAATGGTTCAAAGCTGCAGCAGGGAAGGTTCAGACTGGACATCAGGAAACTTTTCTTTATCAAGAGGGTGCCTGTAACACTGGAACAGGCGCTTCCTAGAGAGTCGGTCAATGCACCCCAAGCCTGTAGGCGTTGAAAAGGCATTTGGACAATGCCCTTAGCAGCATGCTTTTGGTCAGCCCCAAAGCAGTCAGACAGTTGGACTAGATTATCATTGGAGGTCCCCTTTAACCAAACTGTTGTATCCTGTTCTGTACCTGGCATATTTCCTAGTGTTTCTAAAGCTGTAAGACTGATACTTCTTACACAATGGTATATAAAAATTCTACCTAATAATAAAGTTTGGTACTTTTATTTATTAATCTATTTTAGACAAAATTTTCTAAAACAAACACAATGGTGTCTTTTCTAACAAATATATATCTTTAGGCTGACAAATTAGGAGGTTTAGTCTTTTGCAATGTTTCCTATAAGAGGAACCACCAATAACTGATATTGAGCTGCAATAGATATCTTTTTTATTTCTATTATTGTGTGTATGTTGGTCTCCTCTAGATTATGACAGTCTTTCACACTTACAGAGAGCACCTGCAAGAATGAGCACATCCTCAAGCCACGTACAGGGATGTAATAAATACAGCCGAGATCTGTGTATGAGCCATATAAGGGCTGCAGTTTTAAAGGTGAACAGTATGAGGATAGTGCTGCAGTTATTTATCTAATCATAGAGTGATACAACATACTACTAAATACAGCAGACACAGTGCTAAATGTTACCTACCTTGGGAGTAGTAGTTTTGACTATCAATAATTCTGACAAGTCAGTTTAGAAGAACAATTTTCCTTGTTAAGCTATTGATAATGTCTTGATTTGTTTAACCAAATTTTTAGTGTACATTTCTCATTTACATCCGAGTCCACAGTAATCTAGTCCTTCGATAGGGAGTCCCTTGTAAGCAGTGAGGCAACAGAGTAACACATGATTTTCTTCTCACTGCTACACAGATAAAGCAGAGAGAGTGAGTGGTAATAGCAGAAAAGTCTGCACACATTTCCTGCACAGGGAGCAGTGATCTCATAAATTCTCTAATGAATAAATTCATAAAGAGAAGCCAGCCAATGTAAAATGAAACCTCAACCAAAAATATTTTCTTCTGTTTTGGAAAAAAAGATGAAGATACCTTCACTGTACTCACCACTGCACATGGCTGTTATCCAGGGAGTGTTTCTGACCATCTCATAAATTTTTTCCTACTTTAACACTGAAATTATTAACTAAGGCTCTTAACTAATTCCACCCATTCCAGCTTTTACACAGCAATGTACGCAGCTATGAAAACATGCTGACCTTATTAAAAAATGAATCAAAACGAAAATCCCTTCCACCACTCAAGCATTTTCTCATATACAAAAATTATTACATTTTGAAAAGTACAGCAAGTCATTTAAAGGTAATTTCTGAGGTAGAAACAAAGCACAGCTTTTTACTCACCACATTTTCTTTATCACAATATGAGCTGAAGTAACTTGAAATAATTGCAGCATACTGAAGGAGCACTTTGTTGATAGTCTAGGAGAAGAGAAGAATCTTTTAAATGGTAAAGTTCATGATGCAAAAATATAATCATAAAAAACACAAAAAAGGAGGTTTGTAGAAATTCTAGATTTTACAGGTGCTTACACATTTAGTCTATAGTATTTCTTTGTATATAATATCAAGCAATCCTATGAGCATATTTTCAAATCCCTGCAAAACAGATGGGGGGCTGCTCTTAAAGGAGTATAATCTTCAACAGCAAAGATACTTTAATTTTAGTCATACTGCTTTTCAGAAGCATTGGCAGCTCTACTCCTTGCGATGTGGTGCATACTTAATGGGACAGCAGCAAGCTCAAAAAATCCTCCAGGGTGACAATGCACAGATTAAAAATATAATGGAAAAATAAGACCAAGGGAGCACTGTTCAAAGCCTGTCTGCATAAGCTTACCTTACAATGATCATGTAAATAGGAACTCTGTTTGCAAATGGAAAACTGTTGCAATGGAAGAACGGGAATAAATGTAAATGCAGTTGTTTTTAAAGCTATCAGGACCAAATGGAAATCTAAAGCTTGTGAGGAAATACGTTATAATCCAGACAGTCTAAAAAACTGACTTTATCAAACAGCAGATAAATAGGTACCACCGCCTCAGGGCCTCAACCAAAACCATTTTATCGCCATACCTTGAATTTTTCTTTCCCTTGCACTGACTAATTAGATCATTGCATTGCATTTCAGTGAATTGCTCCATTAATGGAATTATAATCAGTGCTTAGCAAGAATAATAATTGATTGCATAGCATAGACAAATATGAAATCTCAAAGAAAATAGAACTTCTCAAACAGGTAAATGATCTTGATAGAATAGATGAAAAACAGTCTTACGCCACAGATACCATGTCTTTCTAAGGATTCCAGTCAGAGATAGAAGAGATTGATTCTAAATAACATTGGAACTACTTAGCTTTTTAAGTACACAGCAACACAATGGCACTCTCTCTGAAGCTTAGTTGGAATGCATTGAGTTTAATTTACCTTTGCAAATCTTCTCATTAAGTGAGATAGTGTTTCTGGATTAGGACACTCCAGTTTCCTAATAATCTCAAAACTTTGATTGAGCTGTGTGAAGACATCAACCACGGAACAAGAGAAGAGGGCATGATCTGATGTTTGCTGAAACTAGAAAGAAACATTCAAACGAGTTAATACTTGTTCAGAGTTCAAGACAGTTATTAACTGATTTTCTTACAGTTGAAAGTCCTCCTAGAGTCATAAAAAAGTAATAAAAAATAAATTAAAAACCAGTCTCTTTGATAATACTGAGAAATTGAGCTTTTAATATTTCTATCGCTTTAAAACCTCTTAAAAATAAACCCAAAGTTATCTTTACTGACATCAGTATCACACCAGAGTTTAGTGAAACCATAGACTGAAGTCTATAGGGAACTTAGGGAGATGAAATTAGAGCAGGAATTTTTCCACTGAGTTACCCTCCAAGAACCATTACTGACTGTGGATCCTTGAGGTGTAACAAGGATACTGTGGGACCAAACGTACTTATGGTTTTGCAATACTAACTAACCATCATAATACTTTGTTATTTTCTTTAAAAAGGAAAGGCTCACCCCGTCCTTTTTGTCTCTTTCTAGTGCTCCATGAAGAAATTCCATTGAGACATCCTCATTTTCATCCAGCCACTGAATGACAAATGGTTCAAACCACCTCAAAATTAAAAACAATTTCGTTAAGTGAGTGCATTCCCCAAAACCCTGAGAGAGAGCTGCTGCACCATGCAGCAGTTTGGCAAAACGCAGCAGTCTGGCATCTTGTGTCTTCACATCTGTTCTAGTTGCTAAAAAGTCAGTCATCCTTTAAAAATTTGTGTCACTGAAGACACCGTGGCTACTAAAATGTCTTTAAAGTTCTGTTTCACCACACTCTAACTGGTCTACCCTAGCCATGTAAAATCAGTAGCCACCACAAAAATGTGTCCACGTTTTGCAGGGGAACGCATTCTGTGCAGTAGTTTTATTTTAGTGCCTTTTATCAGTGTCGGTTCTTTGTTAACATTTATTTTTTATTTGTATGTGAAATACCTCAGATAAAACTTTGCTTTCGCACAACATCAGTGTGGTTTATTTTTCTTTAGTCTATTTTTTAAAAAAATCATGCAATAACAGGCCCCAAAACATCTCAGCAAATCAGCAGACTGGCAGAAGATCAAGGAACAAGATTAAGGATAGCTCATAGACAAGGTCAGGATTGAATGTACTAAATGAAGGAGGAAATGCAAATTTGAAAGCAGCTGAATACTAACCCAGTGCAGCAAAAATACCTTCAGTAGCATATCCCATTAGCATTGTATCTTTACCCAAATTTGGGTGTGAAACAAATGCAGAGGCCTATAACTAACACTGCTGCTGTTCTCACATTTCATATCTTCCTCAGGCATTCTCTGACCAAAATACTTTGTTATTTACGAAGACCTGCAGTTACAACATCTGGATCAAGTGTCCTATGAAATAGCTAATCACACTTTAAATACCCAGACTATTTAACTTGATAGAATGAAGAATTAAAGAGAGGAAGTGCAAAAAGTAAAGAGTTGTCAGTGCACACACCTTGAGATCCTGCACAAACTTGAGAATAAACGTTTGACCAAAATAAACCTTGCACCAAGACAAAACTCATGGGAAACTTCCCTGTACACTACTTACAGAGAGTATTCAGGCACCGCATCCTTGAAAGCAGAGAGTTCTCGCACATATTCGTTATAAAACCATTTCACTTTGAAGTGCAAATTCATATAATCCGTGCTTTTGCATAACCACTGCTTTTCATGTTCTGCAATAAAAGCAGTTGAAATAAAAGCATTTAATATCATTCTAACCGCAAATAACATTCTTGTGCCTCAGCACACAAGTGACAGAATTATACAGTACTTGTATTTTAAAGCACAAATGATTTCTTTTTACAGGTAGTGGTACCCACAATCTCCAGGTTCTGAGGAATCTGAGATTCCTTTCAACTCTCTTCACTGTAGTGAGGAAACCCCACAAATTTGCTGACTTCCTGTCGGCAGATTCTTCTTTGGTTGTTACAAAATGGTTAAGAAGCTGTGTCAGGTATCAAGTTAGAAGTGTCAACTACAGTTGTGTGGTAGCCAAATGAAGTAATGAATACATAAATGTCAGCCCTGTATGAATCTGTGAAAACCTGCATTAGTAAATAGGCTGCTTTTATCACGTATAATTAAGGAAAAGAAAGAGGGATCTCCACGGGTACCATCTCTCTGAGGAGTCATGTGACTTGCATATTCATTTTTTCCCAGATCCCTAAAAAGTGACCTAACACCGATGCTCTGTAGGAATGACATTCTTGCGTAAATAGTATGTAGTAAGAACTTAACTCTTCCAAAACTCCTGTTTGCTCCTTACTTCTGCTTGCACTGTAACAGTATCACACGCATTTTTCACATCTATATTTGGCTGTGAATCTGATTTTTTGTAACAGCAGGAGTACCCCATCCTCAGTCACACACACACATGAATTTACCACTTGGTTCTCTGTCAGTGTAAATGCACTGTGAAATACATATTCTGTCTTTCTCAGATCTGAACAGGGACATTAACAGGCAATGTTTAGTTTAATTATTCTGCTAAATCAGTACTCCAGTAATATCACCGTGCCATACAAGAAATGTTTCAGAAGCATGTTATTATGCAGTGAATTGTGGAAATCAGCTTATAAAGTGCCCCTGTGGGCTCTTACTGCCTTTTTAGCATTATGTTAGCTTTTTCACCTTCACTGCCTTTTCGTCACACTACAGAAAAATCAGTAAATCAGTTTCTGTCTAAATATTGCCTTTATTCATGCCCAATTGCTACTTGAGAGTACTACAAATTCCCCCCGAGCATAATGCCATTGGTCGCTAATCTTAAACAGAACCACAGAGAGAAAGATGTATGCCTTCTCTCATGGTTCTTACTTTATACAGACCTAAGGAGTCATATTTTTATGCTGGTAGGAGTTTTTCCGCAATTTACTATTATAGACAGTTAGGTGACAAAATATTTGCTCAATAAAAGGTAGTTCTTAAAAGTGAGACCAGTCGTTGACTGAGAACAGTTACCTCCTTGCTATCAAATTCAATACACACCTACTGCTTAAGTCATTATTAAGAAAAAATCTCTTATACTGCAAGCCAAGAGAGTGGAAATTCTGAAAGGAATAGCATTTCTGCCTTCAAACATTGCATGAATGTGATATTAGACTATACAATGCAACTTAAGGAAGTTTGCTGTAGGATCACGAACTAAGCAAATACTTATTTCAATTTTAGAAATGAGCTGCTGTCAATGACAGGCAAACTTATCCAGGAAGGTACAACATACATAACACCATTCATTGGTTTATTTTTTTTTAAGTTAAGATCTAAATTGCCATACATAAGAAATGAGCACAGAAGTCATTAATGAATAATTGTGTTGGTTTGGTTAAGTCTCCTGGGACATTACTTGTAGTTCCATAGAAGTGAAACATGCATCCTCAATTCCTAATATTAACCTATGAGAACATCAGAAAATACTTCACATGAGCTACAAAGTCACTTTGTATCCACACATACTACCTCTTCAGCTTATATAAACCAAAAAACAGAGAAAAGAGGCGCCCACATGAGTCAGCCCATGACAATTTTACCTGGATATCAGAAGGGTTTATCCATAGCAACCATGGATTTCGGTTAGAAAGCATAGGAACATCATTGTAGGCCTTCTGAATTTAGATTAGGACCCACAGATTGCTTTCTTAATTTCTGAAGAAATATATAGGTTTGCACAGGATATAGGTTTGCAGTTTGGAGAGTTGCATCTTTTTTCCTGTAAGGAAAGCTCGCACCGTGTTTCCCTATGCACATACATCCATTTTGGACTTTCTGGAAGACAGATGTAGTAGCTGCACAACATGACTCTTTAGCCCATTATTGCTTTGTAAAATTATTATAATGCTGAGTCAATCTTGAACTAAACCTGCAAACTGTACACTGTGCAAAAGTGCTCAGCAGAGATTATGATAGAAACAGCAGGCCCCTCTCATATCCGCCTCTAAGAATCTCCAGTATAGCAAACCTAGCATTATTAAACTTTTCGTATATGCTATTTATGAAATGTTCCTTGTAATGCAACATATCCTTATAAGCATCTATTAATTTACTGAGTTTCATGACAAGGATATTTTTGGTTCTATATTCTATGTTAGCATCATGAATCAATGAAAAAATACTGATAATATTTCTGTAAAATGTAAAATATGTAAACCCTAATCTGTGCATATGGGCACTTCAGATGCTTTTATCTATTGCAGATCCAGAGTATCTTTTTTTCCAGTACTGATTACACTGAAATCAGTTGTTCAGGTGCTGTTTTGGTAACTAAGAAAGAAGAGAGATTTTTAAAAAAGACTATTATGTGGAATGCATTAATATATGCAAATATATTTGGTGTACGCTGAAATCAGCCATGGACCTGGTAACACTATTTAGCAAATAATCTAATTGCAAGCAATTGTTCTTTTACAGGTAATGGTATAAAGAGACACTGTAGGAAGGTCTATAAACTAAGGTACTTTCCTCACAGGCCTGTGACCAAACAGGGGTACTTTGGAATCATGTTTGATTTCTTGCTCAATTTTCAGCAAGTGCTAAAGAAAGCAGAGAAGATTTTCTTCAGGCAGCAAACACAAAGAAACTGCAATACAACTATTATGCTTTGGTCTGATGTTTGTAGTGTCATAGTATTTTGTCAGTGAAGTCATAATAACTTATTAAGCAGAAACATCTACACGACAGTACAGATACAATGCCATTTAAGAAGCTGGAATAGAATCTCATTCACTACAGAATCTTTTTTCCTTTTTAACCTTAAGGCAATAACATCACTCTGAGTATCCATGCAATTTTTGATATGTATTACTTGCTAAAAAAGGGTAATCTAACAACCTTCATAACATATGAACATTTTAAATATTCGGGCACTCAATCTGGCATTTTGTTCAACTCTGATTTTCCCTCATTGGGGTAAAAAAGTTAAGAGCAAATTGGTTTTTTTACTGCAGCAGTTTCCTAGCCACTGTTTATTGTAACAGCATACAGCTAAACTGCTCAAAGGATTCCAATAAAGGGATTTTAACTAACAAACAATGTTATTAATAAAGCCACTTTCCAGGTTTTAAAGATGTTTCAGAGATGAATAACTACAACAAAGAGTATTTACATATTCATTTACAAATTCATTATATCACAATCTGTTGGCTTGACTGTTACATACATGCCATTGCACTACAATTTATTAAAATGGTAATGTTTGGCGCTAAGTATAAGGGAATTGTGTTTCCAATAATTGCAAAATTTGCCATTAAAACTCACATTAGTTTCAACCATTGTGTTTTAATTCCACATCATCTGCAATAATTACTTAGCAATCATTAGAGAGACAACCAGCTGCATATTTTGTCTATTTCTTTCAGAACTGCTGTTTCAGAAATCCCACTATTTCCAGACTTTCACTGGTACAAGTGGGAAGTATCTGCACAGCACTGAGTACGGCTAGTGGAAGAAGAGCTCTTAAGGAAGTCCTATGAGGAATGAGACTGAGTGAGTATGCATTGGTATTCCTCCCTCTGAGTCACTTGGAAACATTACACCGGTAAGATGCACCTATGATTTGGACAGAAGTAGAAGTAATGTTTTGGGTACTTGATCCCGATGCAATTTCCCTCAAATGCAGGAGTTGGCTGCTATGCCAGTGACTCTTAATATGGGTATTCCCCTTACAGTGGTCTAAACTTAATCCCTGAACTGCTGAAATGAACTGGAAAATTCCAATTGAATGTAACATTGGATCAGGCCACAAATGAAGAAAAATGTCAACTCAAATTTCAGAACCGATTTAGAAGGAAACATTATATTATACTAGATACTTCATCCCAAGGTTCTTGTAATTTGCTAAAGGGAATGGAAGTCACTGGTTATTAACTGAAATACAGAGCAGGACACAACTAATTGATATTTATGTATAATTTACATTGATTTTGGTAATTTGAAACACTACTGGCCTTTCTGAAAGGTCTCTGTGTCATGATGAATACAATAAGCTTCTGTCATTACCTCCTTTTTTGGATTGCACTTACAATTGGTTCACAACTAACCCCCACTACTTTTCCTTTTAAAAATATATTGTGTCCTTCATAAGCAACTTCCACACATTCAATCTTTCCTCTGCATTTACTTGGAAATTTTCATCAAAATGTCTTTGAACACTTCACAAACATAATGGATTACACCTTGAACAGCTCTATGAGGTGATTAAGCTGCACTATTACATTATACAAAGGGGAAACTGAGAGATAGTGAGACCAAGAAGATTTATTAAGGGAACATACATAAATTATGAAAGGCAGTCTAGATCTTGTTCAAAGACTTCTTAACCACACAGTCATATTTCCTTACTGAAGAGGGACCAGGGCAGGAAGGCAGACTGTCTTGTTCTGAATTGTTAGAAAAAAACAGATTTACTGTTATTTTTTGTCTTCTTGCCTGCAGTGTAAGTGGTCTAATCAATCCTTAATACAGTGCACTTTAAAAGCTGATACGGCATTGCCCTTTATATTCAAGGATGAGCACTCAAAGTGAGAGGCCATTTGCTCAGAGTGCTCTGCTTTGATTCATGTTTCACAGCAGACGCAAGTGAGTTCAGGGCCACCTGCTCAGTGTCTGTAAAGGCAGAGCTTCACATTGCTTTCTGTGTGTGGTAAACTGCTTATGGGAACTTGGTGAACACCAAATA